GGGGAGGGGGAGGGGCGCCATCTTGGGCCGGGCGCGGGCGCGGGCGCGCGAAGCCCTCGGGGGAGGCCCTTGCCGCAGCTTACCGGGGGCCTGGGGGCACACCCTCCAGGACCCTCGGTTCTCCGCGAGCCTTACGGCCCCTCGCTAGCAGGCGTCCCATCACCCGGCTCCCCAGGACCCCTGCCCACCGGCACCGCCCTCAGCACGAAGCCACAGACTCACCCTGGTCGCCCCGCAGGGCCCTGGCCCCGCACCCCCGCGGGGCGACGCACTGGCGAGGTGGGAGCCGAGGTGCTGTGGCCGTGGGGGGACCGCGGCCGCACGGGGCTGCGCTGGGACCGCCGACCGTTCCGCTCTTGCGGCAACTCTCCCCGCCGTCCTGGTGGGGAGGCGATGAGGACACCAGGTTGGTGATAAGAATAGCTCGTATTTATTGACCGCTTGCACTGTGCCAGACTCTGTTAGACATCAGTCTTCGCATTAGCCCTGCGAAATGGCCTATATGATTCTCAGTTTTCAAAGGCAGATGCTGAGATTCAGAAAGGCAAGGCAGCTTGCACGCAGTCATATAAATGGTGAGATCAGACTGAAATTCTCCTGAAATTCACCCTGCCCCTGCTGCTGAACGCGAAGCTGTGACACCAAGCCTTCTCCAGTGCAAGAGGCGGCAAGCAAGGAGGAGAGAATGTGAATGAAAAGTGTAAAGGAACGGATGGCGGGGTGCAATTGTTCTGTAGACCCTCCTACGATAATGGGATAGATCCCAGTGGTCAAATCTGTGAACCAGAGGCCATCAAGGATGATGAGGGGGAGTATTCCTCTCCAGAAACCCTGTTAAGATTCACTCCCCTAAATTCTATGCGTTAATTTGTTAAACCTTTTACCATATTGAACAACTTACTGGAGATGCCTCAAGGCATCTAAAGGTATCTAAAACTAAAGGTGTTCAAATCTAAGGCCATAACACAGAGGTTAATATGGACTGTATAATGGAATCTGGATTCCATACGGTCAGCCAGGGACTGAGTCCAGGGCTCCAGTCACAGCATCTTGAAAAACTATACGCATGCATGTACCCAGGATCCTAGGATGGAGAATTGGAGGAAAAAGGATTGCAGTGTGACCAGGCCCTGTGGGAGCTGTGTGTTCATTCACTGTCTCTCTCATGCGTGCATAAAAATAGTGTGTCCAAATCTAAATTTATTATTTCATCTCCCTTTATTGGTCTTCTGAGGAGTTTCACATGGATGGAAAAGAACCCTCCCAATACTGGCATACGTATGCACCCCAAATGGGTGCAGTTCTACCCCATCCATCCTGATGAATGGCACCATGATCTATGGGCTTGTCCACCCCAAAAACTTCAAGGTCATCTTTGAATGTACTTTCACTTAACGAGAGGTGAATATAAATGTTTTAAATTTTTATTACAGAAAGTTAAAAATATATACAAAAGTAGATTCTCATACACATCACTCAGAATCAACAATTATTAAGTCACGGTCAAGAATTCGTTCTGATTTGACAAACACCAATGGTATATGAACCATGTACCAGGCCCCAAGCCAGGCTCTAGGGATCCAAAGATGAATCAGCTTTCACTGTAACCCACCTGGAAGAGATGACATCTGACCTGGGTTCTTGAAAGATGAACAAGTGCTACAGAAAAAAGAAAGATGTCCTCATTCATTCAGTCGGTCTCTTTCAATAAATTGTGTGAGGCACTGTCCTTGGTGCTAGAAGTACTTTAAGAAACTTGACCCTGCCCTCATAAAGCTTGAACTTTTTAAAAAAGAATTATTTATTTAATTTTATATCATTATTATTATTTAATTTTATGAGACAGAGAGATAAAGTGAGAAAGCAAGCAACCAGGTCCAGGACTCGAACTGCAGTCATCTATGTGGGAGTCCAGCACCTTAATCGCTATGCCACCTCCTGGCCCCCAGTGAGAAATCACCCCCCAGCCCCAGTGGGACAGCCATGTTGCAATCCCTTCCCCTCCATTCTCTTCCCCAGATCTTGGGCATACACAATACATGCACCTGGCATGATTTTTAAGCCACTGGGTCCAGGACTTCGACCACAGTCAGCCATATGGGAGTCCAGCAAGGTAACCACTATGTCATCTGCTGGTCCACTAGCTTGAAATTTAGTGGGAACAAAATTAAACATGTGTTGGAAATGTGATGCGTTTCTTGAAGGAGATGTACAGGTGCTATGTAAGTGAACTTAATTTGGTCTGGAAGTTTTGGGAGGCTTTCACAAGAAGTGACACTTAAGTGACAAGGAAAGGATGAAGGATATGGAGATTAGACAGAAAAAGCAAAAAGTATTCCAAGTAGCAGAAGTATAGGAAGGCCGGTATGGAAGGGGTAGGGAAGAAGAACAGCCTAAAATGAACTGGAAAGGCGAGAAGGTGCCCAGTCAAGGAGGCCCTTGCATGTTAGGGTAAAGGACTTGAATTTTATTTTATTTTGAAGGATTTTTGCCATCGGGCACGTATGCTTGACAGAGAGAGGGAAAGTGAGAACCTCCTCCCTGGGGTGGGTGGGGGGGTGGGGCATGGTCAGTGCTGCAATCCTTTCTCCTCCATTCTCTTCCTGGGTTTTGGGTATGCATGCACATGTGCTCAGTGTGATTTTCAAGCCCCCAGGACTGAGACTCAAACCATAGTCAGTCATGTGGGAGTCAAGCACCTTAATCACTATGCCACCTGCTGGCCCCCTGAATTTTATTTGAACGGTATTGGAAAATCATTGAAGGTTCAAAGCAGGAGATCTGCATGATCACTGTCACATTATAGAAATGTCCGGCTTGAGAGAGTATAGATAGGAAGAGAGAAAAGCTAGACGTGTAGAGACCAGTTAGTAATTAAGGTGGTCTAGGTAGAAAATGATGGTAATGGCAGGAATAAGCATGGAGAAAATAGCATAAATTTATTAAGTATTCAGGAGATAGAATTCACAGAAATTAGTGATCAATTAATTGACTATGGAATTGGGAAGAAAAGGAAGACATCAAGATTTTTGCTTGAGCAAATGAAAAAAATCCAGAAAGATCACCCATTTACATATACCCATGAGAATACCTTTCTTCTCTAATTCATTGAGCAGGAAGGCTACCATATTCAAGAAAATTTCTTCAGGTAACCAAAAGGACACAGCATGGTGAAGAAGGAGAAAGTCTAAGTAGGGTGCAAAAAGGAGGATACAGCTTATGTGAGCATCTTTTTCCTGATATATTTGATCCAGGCATAGTCTTTCTGGGTTCCTGTCTCCTCCTAGGTCTATAAGCTTTCTGACCAGTGGGGAATCAACCTTTGCCCCTCATCCATCCTTTCTCTACTGTTATGTCTTCCCACACTCCCCCCCCCTTTTTTTGAGAGGTTTTTGTTTTGTTTTGTTTTGTTTTGCCATAAGTCACATGCACTCACCAGAGAGACAGAGACAGAGACAAAACGAGAAATCACCCTCAGGGGGAATGGCCATGATGCAATTCCTTCTCCTCCATTCTCCTCTCAAGACTTTGAGCATGCACATACACGTGCTGGATGTGAGTTTTTCGGGTTTTTTGTTTGTTTGTTTGTTTTTTAAGAATTACTTTACTTTAACTTTATTTATTTATTTACTTATTTTTTAATTTGACCAAAGAAGAACAAAGAGAAAGAGAGAGAAAGAAAGCAAGCCAGCAGGTCTGGGACTCAAACTATGGTCAGCCATGTGGGAATCCATCACCTTTAACCATTAGGCAATCTGCTGACCCCCAATGTGAGTTTTAAGCCGCCATGTCTGGGACTTGAACCATGGTCTGGCTATGTGGGAATCCAGTGACATAACTATTATGCCATCTCCTGGTCCCATCTTTTTCATTCTCTGAGGTACTTTATGGTATAGAAGCAACCATTAGCCAATGGACCACTGCACATGCCATATATTGTTCTGACCAATGGGTGTCCCTCTGAAACAAAAATCTTTTAAAGTTATCTTGAACCTATTGGGAAAAACTTGAATGATATGCAGTTTATCAAGAGTCATTGACCAAGAGTAATGGCTATATGCTATTTGCTAGGCCACCAATTATTACACCACACAGTTGGCACCAAAGTGTCCTATACGGAAGGGCAGAGTTTTCACCTCTATTAAGAGCAAAGACATTTCTGAAGCAAGAGCAGATTTGTCCTTCACTGCATGTCAGTATTGCTTTGATATTGTAATTTTTCTTGTAGTTGAACCTATACACCCCCTTTCCTCTGGGTGGTGGTTTCATTTAGAAAGTCTATAAAGAGTAAAAATTTTCCATATATTACGTGAAATAGAATGCATAAGTCACATTCAAAGCCTGGCAAGAACTTCCTCAACACCCTCTTCAAGAGAAGTATTCCAACAAATACCCTTAAGAGCACAAAGAATGAGAAAAGGACTGAGGACTGGGAATGCCAACTTCTAGGGAACTTGCAAAGGAAAAGGCCAAGAAGAAAACTGAAAAGAAAGAGAAGGTGAAGAGAAGAATCAGGAGAGAGTAATGTCATGGAAGAAATCCAAGGGAGGAACAACTTTCAAGGAGAAAGATGTGGTCAACAGAATAAAATGCAGCAAAAATTTCCAATAAGGTCAAGGCAAAAAGTGTCCATTGAATTTAATAACATGGCGGCCTCAGATATGATCTGTGGTAGCAGAAAATGGAGGCAGAAGTCACAATGCAAGGAATTGAGCAAATGGAAAATGAGGAAGTAGGATAAATAGCAGCAAAACCCCCTATTGAGCAATTTGGGAAAAAGAATAGACAGAAAGGAGAAATCTGGAAAATTATATGCAGCTAAAGATTCTGTGTCTGTCTCCCCCCCCCCCTTTGGACAGGTTTTTGCTATAGGGTGCATGTGCTCACCAGAAAGACAGAGACAGAGAAACAGAAAGCAAGAAATCACCCCCTAGAGGGGATGGCCATGCCGCAATCCCTTCTCCTCTGTTCTCCTCTCTGGATCTTGGGCACGCATGCATACATGTCCAGTGTGAGTTTAAGCCACCAGGTCCAGGACTTGAACCACAGTTGACTACATGGGAGTTCAGCAACATAGCCATTACACCATCTGCTGGTCCTCCTCACAAGGTATTATACTGTCTTGAACATCTGTTGTTTCCATTGTTGTTACCTGCCCAGCATGTATTTCCCCTTTTATTGGTGACAGCCCATCAGGTTTCTTTGGAGGTCCATTCCTTCTTGATTTTATTCCATGTGGCTCAGATAGGAATCATTCCTGTCCTCCAACCCACTACACGATGGTCTTCCAATGCAGGATTGACCTATAAGAATCAAAGTGATCCATTCAGAGATGGGCACATGATTAAATTTGATATGGTGAAAATAAGATCCAGGTATTTTCTCAGAACTACAGGGCAAGAGGTGCTGGTAGAATGCAAGCCCAGAGGACATCCAGCCATCAGGAAGAATGAGCCTTCCTAAGGATAAAGCTAATGCTAAGAAAACAGAGCTAAGAGATGAATAGAGACACTGACTTATTAACATCAGCTTAACACTTATATTTATCTCTGTCTAAAGTCAAAATCTGCTGGGAGATTTTTCAACTACGTAAGTCAATAAATTCTCATCTTGCTTTAACTACCTGACGTTGGGTTTTATCACTGTGACTAAGAATTGTATTGAAAATGAGTACATGTGGCAGATAGTGTCTGTTGGTACTCATTCTTACATACACTTTGCTGTAATTTTTTCTGTACCACCAAGGGCTGGAAATCTGAAAAACACATTTTTAATACATATTTTTATTAAAAAAATATTTTTTAGTTGCCAAAGGGCACATGTACACACCAGAGAGCAACTATAGGAAAATAAAGAGCCACTTAAAGCTGAAGTGAAGAGGTAGAGTTTATTAACCATAAAGTGTATAAAGAAAATCAGGGGGCCAGGTGGCGTGGTGGTTGAAGTGTTGGACTTCCACATGGCCAGTCCCAGTTCAAGTCCCATAACTGGTGACTTGCTTTCTCACTTTCCAATTCTCTCTCTAGTCAAATAAAAAATAATAACAACGAATAAAATTAAATACATAATTCTTAAAAAGGGGGGGAGAGGGACCAGCAGTTAGTGTAATGGCTATGTCGCTGGATTCCCATGTAGTTGACTGCGGTTCGAGTCCCAGACCCAGCGGCTTGAACTCACGCCAGGTGCGTGTGCGCGCATGCCCAAGGGGAATGGAGGAGAAGGGATTGCGGTGTGGCCATTCTCCCTGGAGGATGATTTCTCACTTTCTATCTCTTTGTCTCTGTCTTTCTAGCAAGCCCACAAGCCTTATAGCAAACGCCGTTAAAAAAAAAAATCAGAAAGCTTACTAGCATAGAGTATGGATCTCAGAGGGCGCCATGAGAAGCCTGGGAAAAAAGGCATAATGATGAATGGGATGGGGGCCAATAGAGCAGTCTGGAGGTGTGATTCCTCACTCTTGCCCCCCCTTTCCATTCAATCTATCACAAGTCCTGTAGATGTCTCCTACAGAGTTGTAATCTGCCCATGGCTCTTCATCCCCACTGCCAGTGCCTGCCTCTGTGACTCATCTGTACCACAGTACTGACCTCCTCAATGTTCTCCTTACAGGTGCTGTGTTCTTTTACACTCAATGTCCACTCTACAAAAAGAGAAACTTTCAAAAATCTAAACCTCATCACTTTATTCCCTCATCTAAAATCCCTTTGTATATCTCCATTGCCCCAAAGGTGGACAAAATTCACACTTCTTAGAGATGGAATACCTAATGTGAACTGAGAAGCCCTTGTTCCCTCTTTGTTTCTTTTTTTTTAAGAGAAATTTTTGCTATATGGCACGTGTGCTCATAAGAGAGAGCCAGAAAGCAAGAAATCACTTCACTCTCCATGGGGCAATGGCCACGCTGCAATCCCTTCTTCTCCTCTTGGGATCTTGGGCACACAAGCACATACACCTGGTATACGTTTTTGTTTTGTTTTGTTTTGTATTTTTCCCAGTGTGAGTTTTTATTAATCTATCTATTTATTTATTTTTCCAGTGTGAGTATTTAGTTGCCAGCCCAGGACTTGAACTGTAGTCAACTATGTGGGAGTCCAGCAACGTAATCATTATGCCATCTGCTGGTCTCAACCCTGCCTCCTCCTTTGGTCTCAGCTCTTACCAGCTTCTCACTCATTCCTTTTGCTCCAGCCTGCTGAGCTGGCTGTAGTTTCTATTTCTTGGGTTCTCTTCTCTTCTTGCTTTTTTTTTGCTCATTTCTCCTCTTCTGCCTATAATGCCCTCTGGCATGGTAATGCATAGTTGTCAGGGAATATATATTTGCTAACGGAATTGTATAAACTCTACTTAATCTTTTTTTTTTTTCCAGTTTTGTTATTAGGTACATGCACTTAATGGATAGGGAGAATGAGAACTCGTCCCTTAGGGTGGATGGCCATGCCACCATCCCTTCTCCTTCATTCCCCTAAGGATTTTGGGCCCACATGTACAAGTGCCTAGCATGTTTCTGCAAGCCTCCCACTTCAGGACTCAAACTACGCAGTTGGCCATGTAGGATCCAGCTACCACGCCACCTGCATAGCACATCCTGGCCCATCTCTACTTATCTTTCAAATTTAGCTCAAGTGTTATGTCATATAAGAAGCCTTTTCTAACCCCATCTTCATCACAAGTGTTACATGCATTACTCTCTTTTACATATGTAGTCTTCCATCTTAATGTCTATCTCACTTTATTGTGTTTATCTGATGCCTTGTCTATGTTCCTCTCCTATGACTGAGGAGCAGGTTTCTTAGGGTGGGGACGATCCAATTCATCTCATTACCCCATTGCCTGACACACTCACTGCTCTTCACATAGGAGATGACAGATGGGAACCAGCAGTTAGCGTAATGGCTATGTCGCTGGACTCCCACGTAGTTGACCACGGTTCGCGTCCTAGACCCGGTGGCTTAGGACTCACGCCAGGCGCGTGTGCGTGCGTGCCCAAGATCCCGAGAGGAGAATGGAGGAGAAGGGATTGTGGCGTGACCATCCCCCCTGGGGGGTGATTTCTCACTTTCTGTCTCTATGTCTCTCCTCTCTCTGTCTGGCGAGCGCACACACCCTATAGCGAAAACCTCTCAAAAAAAAAAAAAAAAGAATGGATGAAAGAAGCATGAGTTGGACCTTGCCATTGTCTGAATGTTGGTGTCTCTCCAAAATTCGGATGTTGGAACCTAATACTCAATGTGATAGTACTAAGAGGTGGGGTTTAGGGGAAGTGATTAAGACATGAGGGTCCCAAACTAATGAATAGGATTAATGCTTGTGTAAAAGAGGTTGAAGGGAGCTTCTTGCCCTCTTTCTGCCATATGAAGACAAAACATTCACCCTTCTGCCACATGAGAATGAAGCAGAAGGCGTCATCTTTGATACGTTCACCAAATGCCATCACCAGATGCCAAACTGACTAGAGCTTTGATCTTGGACTTCCCAGCCTCCAAAACTGTAGTAGGTTTCTGTTGTTTATAAATTATCTAGTCTTGGGCATTCTGTTATACCAGCCTAAACCTCTCTTGGATTTTCTTGGAGACATGCCAGAGGCTTCCCTAAAGTAGAACTGGTGGGAGGAGATACTAAAGATGGGACTTAGGACTCTCCCTTCAATAGCAGAAGAGGTTTACCTGGCATACCAGAGTTGCTGGATGCCTGTTAAGATACCTCTAGGTTCCCTGCCATGATGCAGAGGTAGCACATGAACTTAATAAAGCCTGGACCTGAGACTCTAGTGTTGTTCCCACCCCTTAGACTGACAGCAAACCCCATGGAATGAACCATCCAGTCACCATCTGAGATGAAAGCAAAAGCTCAAAATACTTCCTAGGAGAGGATCTCTCAGGTAGTGTGTAGCCCCTAACCTCTATTACAAGCCCCAGCTAACCTTCTGAGTAGATCCTAACATGAGATGCCCAGGTTCAACCACTGTCTCCCCAGTCACAGTCCTTGAAGCTGGAGCCACTCTGTGGCCTGGCCTCCCAGTGGAAAGCCCCATGTGGCTCTCAGTCTACAACTTTCTTTACCCACCAAAATTATACAATGCAGGGATAAGGGCTGATGGGGCCAGAGGGTGGTGTGGTGGTCAAGGTGCTGGATTCCCACATGGTTGGCCACAGTTGGATTCTGGCACCTGGCAGTTTGCTTTCTCACTTTCCCTGTCTCTCTCTGGTCAAATTAAAAATAATAATTATAATGAATAAAATTAAATACATAATTCTTTTTTTAAAAAAAAAGGTTGGATTCTAAACCAGTTGAGGCCATGGTCCACAGTCTAGGTCTACTTCCAAGTTTCCTTTTCAAGTACATCCAAGGGATGGATTGGAGTCCATATTCATTGTCACTGCAAGGTAGGTAGTATTATGCCCTTTTCAAAGCAGAGATAATTGATGGCAGGACCTGACAGCTCAGTGCAAGGACCCCTGATAGAGTCTTGGGTAATTTTCTGAGCTTAGAACAAATCAACCTCCACCTTCAGCTGGTTGGGCAAGATAGATGAGAAAAAGTGTCTCACCTAAGACCCAGCTCCTTGTGATCCAGGCCAAATAACCAGTTAAATAGTTGTCAGCAAGTTTGAAACTGAAAGTCTTGGTTGGGTCATGACTGGAAAAGAATCTAGTACTATAACCTCTATGCACATGACATTTGCTGGCCTAGAGGTGGTGCAGATACGCAGGGGACTAAAGGGGTAAGTCAGATCTTCTCTGCCAGCAGACCTGAGGCTTTAGCAGGACCTTCATGGTTGTGTTCTGCAAATGTGTCTCATAGTCACCATTTCTTCTTTCCCTTCTCCAACTTGGTTCTGACATGCAGCTACTGTTGTTCTAGTTCTCCACCTCAACTTTATTTTACTTGTTATGTCTAACTCATGGCCAACTAAATCCTTGTCTTGCTGCTTGAACAACCTGGAAACACCATGTGAGGACCCCCAGATAGGAGCACTTCCATAGCACCAAGATACTTTGACAGGCATAGCTGCCCAGGCTCTGTCTCTCCTGATGCCATGGACTCAGGCTATGGTCAGTTAGCTGGTCAAGTCAGAGTCCTGGCTCTGCCTTTTACTTGCTGTGTAAACTGAGTGGTCTTCTTCCCACTCTGGTCCCCTCTACCATTATGTGTAGCTAGTCTGAGAAAAGCTAGTTTATGATATGGATTTAAGAATCCTCTGTGCAGAAACAGGTTTGTCTCCTACTCCTCTCCTTCCTTGCTTCCCTTGGCCTTCTTGGAGCTTGAGAGCCTCAAAAGAAGTTGTCAACTTTTCAGCTCAAAGAAAGAAATAAGATTGTTATAGACGCAAATGAAGATGCAGTCTGGCTTTATTATGAGGAAACTGGGAGGTGGGGTTAGTCCAGACTCACATCAGAAGATCCCCTCAGTGACTACAACCCAGGAGATCAGCCACTCTTTGGGGCTGGGGAAGGGCCTTGGCTGCATTCAGTTTATCCACATCACTGTAGCAGTACAAATTGGGGCCATGGATGAGGTACAAGCTGGGACCATTGGCGGAGCATGAGTTAGGGCCAAGAGATTTTTCCAAACACAGGGCCCCATCAACCTTTTCATGGGGCCAAGAAAGTTCTGTCCATGTGGCTTGAGCTCCTGACTTCAAGTCCAACCACCATAGCCGCCGACCTGAAAAGAAGGCAACAGACAGAATATGGCTTCCATGTCATGGGGATCCTAACCCAGCCCTTCTCCTGTCCTGGTGAGAGAAGCAGCAGAATACGCCACCCCTTAGTAGCACCCAGAAGTTCCTCACCTGCCATGATGTGGAGCCGAGAGGACCCAGGACAGACAAAGGCTGCATCCACAGACTCAAGGCTGATCCCATAAGGGCTCCCAAATTCCTTCTCCAGCCGCTTTGGATAACCACTTACTAAGGTATAGCCTCCTTTTGTTAGGAAGATATATACTTGTGTGCCCTGGAGGACAAGGGATAGTAATCAACATAGAGCTCAATATTTTTGTCTCAGCCTTTCCCTTAAGCCTCTCAATACATACCTGGACCAGATACAATTTATTTTCCCAGGAAAAGGCAGCATCCACTTTTGAAGGACCCTGGGGCCACTGGTGAACAATGGGCCAGCTATGCCACCCATCCCGGCTGGTGTCCAAACGCCAGTAGTGGGACCCTGTGGGTATTTACAGGGAGCTTGAGTGCATGTAAAAACCCAGGCAGTAAAAAGGCTAATGCCAGGTGCAGGGATGAGCTATGGAGGTAGAGAACACATCCAGAGGCCAAGAAGGAAGAGGCCCGATGAGACAGAGAAGTAGAGCAAGATGTGATGAGCAAAGTTGAGCCCTGTGGCCTGAAAGGAAGGCAAGCATGGAGAACAGTGGTCAAGTTACTAGGTAAGGTCAGCTTCATGGGGCCTGCTGGGGACTCCCCTCTCATCTCAGGTGTTCATGTACAAAGATGTAGTTACAGATGATGAGATCCAGTGGCCAGAAGTTAACAGAGAAGTATCCCAACAGGTTTCCTCTGACGGTTCTCACTCTGCTGTGTGTGTGTGTGTGTGTGTGTTTTATCCCTGTAAATTGGCCGGAGAGTAAGGGAAGGGAATAGCCAGACCAGCACCCCATTTTCTGCCCCCCTTTTCATAACAACTTACGAAAGGAACCGTGTAGGCTCCTATTTATCCTTTTTTCCTCAACCATCCTCAATTGCACTTCTATTTCCCTCCTCTATTAAAATCGCTTTTATTGGGCCAGCCCTACAGCTGTCTGGTTAAGGGAACAGGATCCTACAGATGACCACAATTCAAATCCCGGCCCCACTGGCATGAAAAACACTGGGAGAGTGTGTATGCATGCCCAGACTTCAAAGGCATAGAAAAATGGAGGAGAAAGGTTGTCATGTGACCATACCCAATGGGGAGTGCTTTCTCATTTTCTCTCTTTCTCTCTTTCTCTCTCTCTCTCTGTCTCTCTCTAATGAGCACACACACACCCCTACTCTCTACTC